ATCACCAAGGCCATATTTTCCAACTACTGATCCTTCCTCTTTGCTCCCAACCTTTGCATTCCAATCACCAGTAATGAGCAATACATCTTGATTGCATGTTCGTTCAATTTCAGATTGAAGAAGTTGGTAGAATTCTTCTATTTCATCCTCACTGGCTTCAGTGATTGGTGCGTAAATTTGAATAACAGTGGTATTAACTGGGCTTCCCTGTAGGCACAACGATATTATCGTATTATAAACAGCATTGTACCTCATGACTGATCTGGATATGTTCTTTTTGACAATGAATGCAACACCATTCCTCTTCAATTTGTCATTTGCACCATAGAAAACCAAGTGGTTGTCAGATTCAAAATGGCCAATTCCAGTCCATTTCAGCTCACTAATGCCTAAGAGGAGCTCTGGTAGTGTAGTGGTTATGAATCGGGCTGTGAACTACAAGGTCAGTAGTTCGAAACTACCAGCAGTTCCGCTGGAGAAAGATGAGGTGTTCTGCTCCCATAAAGATTTACAGCCTCGGAAACCCTGTGCAGGGTCACTATGAGTCGGAACCGACTCCATGTACTTAACAACAACAATGCCTAAGATATCGATATTTATGTGTTCCATTTGATTTTTAACAACTTCCAATTTCCCCAAATTCATACTTAGTACAATCCATGTTCTGATTTTCAATGGATATTTACAGTTGTTTCTCTTCATTTTGAGTTGTGCCCATCAGCAAATGAATGTCCCACAGGCTTTGCTCCCACAGGCTTTACTCCATTCACATCATCACAGTCAACTATACTTTGAGGAGGCAGCTCTTCCCCAGTCACATTTTGAGTGGCTTCCAACCTTGGGGCTCATTTTCCAGCACTATATCTGACATCGTTTCTCTGCTGTTCTTAAAGTTATCAGTGACTAAATATTTGGAAGTAGTTCGTCACTCCTTCTTCCTAGTCTGTCTTCATCTAGAAGATCATCTGATACCTGTCCACCATGGGTGACCCTGCTGGTATTTAAAATACCAGTGGCATAGCTTTCAGAATCACAGCAACTCACAAGCCACCATAGTACAAAAAACTGACAAACGAGTGGCATTTATTATCTTATAATAATAAAATGAGAGAGATGCAAGCAAAGAGAAAGATCCACTACCAAGAAAGAAGAGCTGGAGTGGAGTGTCGTTTGGACTGAGAGTCCCTGTACAATGAAACTCTTGGACCCAGGGCAAGACTGATACCTAGACATGTGGCTATCTCCAAGGAATGCCAGGCCTGCAGACACTAAAGGAGATAAGGACCTTACTCCTAAACCGTGAACCTACACAGAGAGAAAGCCTTCCCCTAGAGCTGGCACCATAAATTTGGACTTCTAGCCTGCTAAACTGTGAGACAGTAAATGTCTGTGTATTAATGCATCCACCTGTAGTATTACTGTTGTGTTGTTGCTGTTTTTAAGTGCTGTTGAGTCCATTCCCACTCATAGCAACCCTATGTAGGTTTTCAGAGGAATAGCTGGTGGGTTTACACCACCAACCTTGCAGCTAGCAGTCTAGTGCTTATTCTACAGCATTAAATCACTAAGACAAAATAATCATTAACATTATTTTACCTATTAGTGATGTCAGTATAGCTCCAGTACAAGAGGCAAGCATTTGTTGAAGAGGTGTTACTTTGACAATCTCTGGTGTCTCCATTTCAGGGTCCATGTTTTTAGCTAATTGAAGAAAAACCTGTTACAGAAAAGTGGACTGTTGAAAAGTTAAATAAACTATAAAAATAATAATCAGTATTTATATTGAAGAACATGCTCTTCAACACTATCAAATGTAAATACATAAATTCTGTGTACAAAGATACCATAAAACTGGCCTTGATAAAGCATGCTCTCAGATTTCCCAATAATGGTATGCACTTCAGCTAAGCTGTAAGTACAGCATCTTATTTGTAAGACAGCTAATAACAAACAGTTGACCTAGCAGGCACAGAATTTGAGACTTTAGCCTCAGAGAATGAGGAAACCTAGCATTATTTTTAATTACATAATAAAAGTGATCCATGACCTAAATAGATTTGATGAGAGAATATTTTTCTTAAAAAGTCAAATAAAATTTAAAAATCACTTTCAAAATATATAAAAATCACTTATAAATTTACTATTCAAAAGTAGCCACTGACATGTCATCTTTCTATATATATTTATGTACACACATACATGCACATACATGTAGATTACATCTATCTAAATATACTTATCAAATATATTTAGACACTCATGTATGAGTACATATGCATCTTTTTTAGAAAACAAAAACAGGATTCATACTATGTTGTTGTTGTTAAGTGCCATGGAGTCGGTTCCGACTCACAGCGACCCTGCACAGGGTTTCCGAAGCTATAAATCTTTACAGGAGCAGAACGCCTCATCTTTCTCCCGCGGAACTGCTGGTAGTTTCGAACTGCTGACCTTGCGGTTCACAGCCCAATTCATAACCACTACGCTATACACATTATTTAGTAGCCTGTTTTGACACAAAATACATTTTGTCAATAAATACAGATCTACATCATCACTGTTAATGACTGATGTTGTTAAAGCGCTGTCGAGTTAGTTTCAATTCATAGTGACCCTATGTAGGGTTTCCGTGGAGCAGCTGATTGATGAGTTTGAACCAAAGATCTTGCAGTTAGCAGTCCAGTGCTTATCCTAGAGTTCCACACTAGGACTCCTAAAGATTGTAAAATATATAATTATATAGCCCTGGTAAGTGCAACAGTTAAGTGCTAGGCTGATAAATTAATGACTCTTCAAGAGAAAAGACCTAAAGATTAGGTCTGCTCCCATAAAGACTGTTGTTAAGTACTGTGGATTCGGTTCCGACTCATAGTGACCCTGCACAGGGTTTCCGAGGCTATAAATCCTTACGGGAGCAGAATGCCTCATCTTGCTCCCGCGGAACTGCTGGTAGTTTCAAACTGCCGACCTTGAGGTTGGCAGCCCGACTCATAACCACTATGCTACCAGAGCGCCTTCCTATAAAGATTACAGCCTAGGTGCCACACTCTCATATAGGGTCACTATGTGTTAGAATCAACTCAATGGCACACAACAACAGCACAGTCTCATACTGTCAGATAGTTAGACCTTTCTGGTAGCGTAGTGGTTACAAATCGGGTTGCGAACCGCAAGGTCAGCAGTTCAAAACTAGCAGCTGTTCTGCGAGAGAATGAGGAGGCTTTCTGCTCCCGTAAAGATTTACAGCCTCAGAAACCCTGTACAGGGTCGTTATGAGTCGGAACCGACTCCACGGCACATAACCACCATCAATAGTTTTTCAATTGTAACCATTTTGATATGAGTATACTTATATATGTATCTTTTTGCAGCTTTCCTACAGTTACTCTAAAAGGAAAACTACAATTGCTGGGTTAAACATTTTAAAAACATGATAAATTGCCAAGTTGCTTTTCAAAAAGATTGGACTAATTTATACTTTCCCTAGAAATATACTAATCTACAAGTTAACAAGACTTACACATAAATACACATTGTTGTTGTCATGTGCCGTGGAGTCAGTTCCAACTCATAGAGACCCTGTACAGGGTTTCTGAGCCTGCAAATCTTTGTGGGAGCAGAAAACCTCATCTTTCTCCCATGGAACAGCTGGTAGTTTCGCACTGCTGACCAATTTGTAACCACTACGCTACCAGAGCTCCTTACAAATCTCTTAATCTTCCTGAACCATTTGAAGAGTTGCATACGTCACATTTTTCCACGTAGACACTTTAGTTTCTTGTAATAGTTCAATAATCAAGCTTGGAAAATTTAACAATGATACAGTACTCTGCAGTCCACATTCCAATTTTGTTATTTATCCAAATAATATCCTTTATAACAATAAATGGAGTCCTGGTGTGGTGCTGTAGAATATGCACTGGATTTCTAATGGCAAGGTCAGTGATTCAAACCCACAAGCTGCTCCCTGGAAACAGTATGCAAGGTTGCTATAAATTGGAACCGATTCAACAGCACTTAACAAACAGCAAATAACAATAAGTGGCAAGTTTTATCATTTCTTTAGACTTGTATTATTTACCAACCTGGTTGAAATCTTCTCCTCAACTCTGGTAGCGTAGTGGTTAAATGAATCGGGCTGCTAACCTCAAGGTCAGCAGTTTGAAACTACCAGCCGTTCCACGGGAGAAAGATGAAGCTTTTTGCTCCCATAAAGATTTACAGCTTTGGAAACCCTATGCAGGGTCGCCATGAGTCGGAACCAACTCCATGGCACACTACCACCATCACCACCATGCTCCAAAATTGTACTGTTTGTAGCATCAGTAGCTGAACACTTGGAATGAAAATAAATAAATAAATAAAAACAAATTAAAGGACAAGCATAAAGAAAAGGAGTATGTGAGAAAAAAAACACACCTTTAAAACACAAATACAAAAATATTTATTGAATTCTTCCTAGTAAGTGTTTTGAGGACTATGAAAAACACTCCAAAAATCCTAGCAATAATTACAAAAACATTTTCACAAAAAAAACTTCATGTGTTTTGTTATTAGCACAGCTTAAAAACAAAAAAACTGTTTAATATGAACAAACACATTGATCAACCTTAGCATCGTTAATAATGGAACTTGATGTGATATAAAATATATCCAGCATCATCTACAAAGTATTTGGGATGAGGAGGGGAGGGGGGAATTTTACCTGAAATAAAACAAGTCTTTAGATCTATTTATCAGTTTCTAGAAAATTCAAAGAATAGAAGAACAAAGTAAAGGATCTTTGTTGTTGTTAAGTGCCGTCGAGTTGGTTCCGACCCATAGCGACCCTGTATAGGGTTTCCGAGGAGCCAATGGTAAGCTTGAACCGCCAAGCTTGCAGTTCAAACAGCTTTACAGTGTGGCGCCACACCAGGACGCCACAAAGAATCACACAAATGCAGTCATATTACTCTAATGTATAGTACTGGGTTTTGTTGTTGTTGTTAAGTGCTGTTGAGTCGGTTCCGACCCATAGCGACCCTGCACAGGGTTTCCGAGGTTGTAAATCTTTACAGGAGCAGAAAGCCTCATCTTTCTCCCATGGAGCAGATGGTAGTTTCGAACTGCTGACCTTAAGGTTCGCAGCCCGATTCGTAACCACTACGTTGTTGTTGTTAGGTACCCTTAAGTCTATTTTAACTCCTAGCAACTACTGTAGTTATGTCTGTGTTTCAACTGAGCTGTCTGCATCATTCAGTATTTTCCCCCACAGAATCCTTCCATATTGCAACGGGCAGCTTGACTTCTTTATTAATTTCTTTCAACTTGAGAAATGCTGAGCATGTTCTTCCTTTTTGATTTTCTAACTCCACTCTTTGCACATATCATAATAACACATGGCTTTTTCTTTTTGAGCTGCCCTTTGAAATTTTCTGTTCAGCTTTTTTACTTCCTCATTTCTTCCATTTCCTTTAGCATCTCTATGCTGGAAAACAAGTTTGAGTCTCTTCTGACATCCACTTCAGTCTTCTTCTCCTTTGTATTCTTAATGACCTTTTGCTTTCTTCCTTTATGATGTCCTTAATGTTATCCCACAACTCTTCTGGTCTTTAGTCATTAGTGTCTAATTCATCAAATCTGTTCTTGAGCTGATCTGTAAATTCAGGTGGGATGTGTTCAAGATAGTATTTTGGCTCTCATGGACTTGTTTTAATTTTCTTTAGCTTCAGTGTGAACTTGCATATGAGCAGTTGATACTCTGTTCCACAGATTGCCCCTAGCCTTGTTTTGGCTGACAATATGGAGTTTTTCTATCGTCTCTTTCTTGTTGTTGTTATTGTTATGTGCCGAGGAATTGGTTCTGACTCATAGCGACCCTCTACAGGGTTTCCTAGGCTTTAAATCTTTACGGGAGCAGAATGTGTCATCTTTCTCCCGCGGAACAACTGGTAGTTGCGAACTGCTGACCTTGTGGTTCGCAGCCCAATTCATAACCACTATTCTACCAGAGCTCTTTCTAGGTGTAATCAATTTGATTACTGTGTATTCCATCTGGTGAGGTCCATGTGTATGGTCCTCTTTTAAGTTGTTTAAAAAAGATTTATGCAATGAAGAAGTTATTGGTCTTGCAAAATTCTATCATGTGATCCCCAGCATCATTTCTATAACCAACACCATATTTTCCATCTACAGATCCTTCCTTTTAGCTTACAATCTTTGCATTCCAATAACCAGCATTTATCATTACATCTTGATTGCATATTTGATCAAATTCAGACTACAAAATTAGTAAAATTCTTAAATTTCATCATCACTAGCTTTAGTGGTTAGTACGTAAATTTGCATAACAGTGATATTAACTGGTCTACCTGGTAGGCTTATGAATATTATCCTATAAAAGACAGCATTATACTTCAAGATAGATCTTGAAATGTTCTTTTTGAATATGAATGCAATGCCATTCCTCTTCAGGTTTTCATGCCCAACACAGTAAACCATGTGACTGTCATATTCAAAATAGCCAATACTAGTCCATTTCAAGTCATTTATGACTAGGATATCAACCTTTATGAGTTCCATTTTAATTTTGACAACTTCCAATTTTCCTAGATTAATATCTCTGAATATATAGGAGTCCTGGTGTGGCACTGTTGGTTAATGTGCTGGACAGCCAAGTCGCTCTGATCCATCATAAGGTTGGTGGTTCAAGCT